CAATTGTTTTTTATCATTTATTTTTTGTATTAAATAAATGTCATTTACTGGTAAAAATGACATAACCATATGAAAACCCAATGCTATAATTACTACCGTCAGAACATTGAAAAGAGAGTAGCAGTAAATTTCAAATTTCAAATTTTGCGCGCAAAGTAATTTATATAATTTAAATTAATATAATTACAAATATACAATATTCACGAGGCTTGAAGGGGTGAATGTTTCTGCTAATGAAAATTTTAATTACTCCAAGAATTGAACGATTTAGCTATAATCCATAATTAAATATATTCTAATTAAGAATTAACGTTTCGATTTAAAGTTTAATTATTCAAATTATTGAAGTTTAATTATAACAATTTCTAGAATTAAAAATTCAATTTAAACTTGCAAAATTAAATATCAAAAAGTGATTTTAAACGAAGATTTCCTCAATTAATAATTTTCGACATTCAAAAGAAGCTTCGATCAACAATTCTGAATTAATTATTAATTGAAAGAGCTCCCAATTATCCACACATTGTCTACACATACGTTTAATTACACATAAACCTTCGTCACTTATTATGGTAGCATTCAGCAGAAATTATGCGTACAAGTAAATAAGTCTATTACCTAAGAAACAAAAGAACATACAATTTCGATGCAAATTTTCACCGAACACCGTAAAAGACATTCTTGTCAAACAACGTTTTCTGTTACCGGCACAAACGTGACTTGAGAGACAAAGAAATGTTCGCTGTCATTGTTACAGGAAAAGGCACCTTCAGGCTGAAATACGTCTCCGTTAGATTTACAATGTTGCAAATAACGTACTGCTTCTTATTCCTTTAGAAAAGGAAACGCTGTTGATTTACAAGCACCGATAACGTCACTTTCTTTTTCTTAACTCTTTCCTTCCCGTTGTAACCTTATGGTCAAGATAAAGTACCGGCGTCACAGAACTTTTTCGCGTTTGCGAATGTACAAGCTGGAGTATCATACTCATATTCATGAATAGAAGGGTATTTGACTATAATTGTAGGTCACATATTTGAGCGTATTCATATGTGTAGAAGGTGTACATATGAGTGTTATATTCTTATGAGTACTTAGGATGTTTAGATATATTGTATACATTGATTCACTGGGTTTCGTAATGATACATTCATGATAATACATTCTTAATATATCATGTATGCTTAATGTATCATATGTGGTACACACATCGTATATGGTATACACATGTATGATATATCATATATGTTTTACATATTTATTCATAATGTCAGTAATATTATGTCTGAATCTATCACATGTGTTCATCACGTATGTCATGATAGGTTTATGACACGTGTGATTATGATATACATATGCTCATCACATACATGTATGTACATACGTTCAAACGTAATATGTTGTACATGTATGTCATACAATATAATCATTAAAAATGTATCTTACATATTGTACACATATTTATTCATAATATATTATGCACATCATATGATATCATATATGAATATTCATATACCATATACATGAATATATTTATATCACATAGTACATCAGTACTGCATCGGTTTAGTCAACATCTGGGACCATTAACGACTCGGACGAAAATGGTTTCAAGCAGATTTTCAGTTGCTCCGTCAATTTTCGTAGCAGTTCGCGGCGAAATTGTAGCAGTTATGATAAGTGTAATTTTAGGACAGCGTAGTTGACGGTACCTCGTCTCTGCCTACTAATTGCATCCGTTTCGTGACTCCTCGCCATGTCCGTTGTGTTAAAATTGAAGACCTTATCTCGTAAACCGGTTCAATTAGAATCTGCGGAAAACGACGATCTTCTCGTAATAAAGACTGCAATTAGCTAATGGCGTATAAATATCGTCACGAGTTTGATTCCAATTTTCGGGAGTCGATAAAATGATTCAAAATTTTATTAAAATCTCATGATTCCAAATTTTACTACGATTTCATTACGTCAACTTTTATTAGAATCTCATTATTTCAATTTTTATTAGAATCTCATGATTTTAATTTTTATTAGAGTCTCATGATTTTTCATCGAACTTAGCGTCGGATTCAGTTTAGTTTCAGATTAACCCCTTAACTTATATGCATCACATATGCGATGCACCGTACCTGAAGCACTCAAAAATGAAACAAACCCACCTCATACCTTTAACACAACTAAATTTCAAATTTAACCTCGACCATAATTTGCAGTATCAAAATTAAATACAAAGTACACATCAAATTTAAATATACTTTACTAGTTTTAACGCTGTAGTAATTAGCTCCAACGCAAGTCCAAAATTGTAGGTTATGTTACGACTTCAAACTAGTTTTCTCCCAAACAAAATTTCTTTACAAATTTATTTCTGCAACATAAACGAGAACAGACAAAATATTGTAATATGAATTTAAGTGACTGAAAAGTGACCAGGTACCAATTTCTGTCCATGTTTTCAGTCAGAGTTGGTCCTTCGAGGGTTAATTCAGTTAAAGCGTAGCCGTGCTAGACAACTTGGGCGAGTAAATCTTTGTAAGAGTAAATACTTCGAGCACGAGTTTATAGAGAGAACTTTTAGACGGAAATGTGGACTAAGCTTGTATTGAGCAAGTTTTAACACCGGTAAAAAACAGACCCTATATTTCTTCTTGTTTTATTGCGTTGTTAGTGCGTCTATCTTTGACATCAATTCACTTAACTTTCTTAATTACGTTTGTACCAGACATATTGTAGAATTCATTTTATATTGTGTTGTATGTATAATGTTTATGTAATGTGTTATACAGGTAATGTTTATAACTGTAGTGTGGTTTATAATTATTATGCAATAATATGTTATGTAATGTTTATAATAAAATGTGTTCTATAATGTTTGTAAAGTAATGTGTTATATAATGTTTATAATATAATGTGGTATATAATGTTTGTAAAGTAATGTGTTATATAATGTTTATAATATAATGTGATATATAATGATTGTAAAGCAATGTGTTATATAATGTTTGTAAAGTAATGTGTTATATAATGTTTGTAAAGTAATGTGTTATATAATGTTTGTAATGTAATGTGTTTGTATAATGTTTATAATGCAATGTGTTATATAATGTTGGTAATGTAATGTGTTTGTATAATGTTGGTAATGTAATGTGTTTGTATAATGTTTGTAATGTAAGGTGTTTGTATAATGTTTATAATGTAATATATTATATAATGCTTGTAATCTAATGTGTTTGTATAATATTTATAATATAATGTGTTATGTAATGTTTATAATATAATGTGTTATGTAATGTTTGTAATGTAATGTGTTTGTATAATGTTTATAATGTAATGTGTTCTATAATGTTTGTAATGTAATATGTTATACAATATTTGTCATGTAATGTGTTTGTATAATATTTATAATGTAATGTGTTCTATAATGTTTGTAAACTAATGTGTTATATAATGTTTATAATGTAATATGTTCCATAATGTTTGTAATGTAATGTGTTATACAATGTTTGTCATGTAATGTGTTTGTATAATATTTATAATGTAATGTGTTCTATAATGTTTGTAACTGAATGTGTTATATAATGTTTGCAATCTAATGTGTGTGTATAATGTTTATACACTAACATATTACATGTACAATGCTTGTAACATCCTACGTAATGTATATAAAATAATTACCCATATAACACATACAGTACAACCTATAAAACAACATCTACATATACAGTGTATTACACAATACAACAAAATTTTTCCGCAATTTTTAATTGGTACAGAAGTTGTAAAACGAAGTTACAGGAAATTTAACAACGTTAATTATAAAATACTTCAGAACATACAATTATAGGTACAACAAAATGGAATTTAACAGGGAGCTTTCGATCTGCGAAAATATCGAATCGCATTCAGTTACGCCGGGACAATGGTTTATTTCATCGCGAACAATTTTAATTAACACATATTAATTAGGGACCTACGAATATTTGCAGGAAAAGCTCAATTGCATGAAAAATTTAATATAATCCTAAATATACGTTCGTAATACCTTATCATCGAAATTAATAAGATTTCCATAAAATATGTATGGGATTAAGGTAGTATGATCTTAATATTAATTGTCTAATAAATTTGATAATAACATGTTTGCATTTAAAGTACATTAAGAAGAATTATGTGTACAATATTTAAGCAAATAAAAAAGAGTTTGCGAATCTAGGTAATTAGGGAATTGAAAACTAGGGATTAGGAATTTCAGAATTGGAAGGTTTGGAGATGGAAAATTTGGAATTGCAAAAATTGGAACTGAGAAATTTGGAAATTGGAGAAATGGAACTGAGCAATTTGAAAATTTGGATTCGGGAAATTTGGAAATTGGGTAATTTTAGGAATTGGGAAATGTGGAAATTGGGAAATGTGGGAATAGGGAAATGTGGAATTTGGAAAACGTAGAATTTGGCAAACGTGGAAATTGGGAACTATGGAAATTGCTAAACGTGGATATTGGGAACCGTGGAAATTGAGAAATTTGGAAATTGGGAAATATGGGAATTGGGAAATGTGGAATTTGGGAAACGTGGAAATTGGGAAATGTGGGAATTGAAAAATGTGGATTTTGGGAAATGTGGAAATTGGAAAATGTGGAAATTGAAAAATGTGGAAATGGGAAAATGTGGGAATTGGGAAATGTGGAGTTTGGGAAACGTGAAAATTGAAAAACGATAAGGATAACGGAAAATAATAAAATTTGAAATTTTTGTAAGTTTTAATTATTTAAGTGTTTATTGAAAGAAATTTTAAATAATAATTTTCAAGTCCTCCATATATTATAATCTTAAGTATATTATTTCTTTCTAAAGAAATTTTATTTCTCTTTCAATAAACGAATTTTATTCCCGTTTCCAATTTTGAGAAATATTGGAAATTTTTCTTCAAGTAAAATATTTGAACGATGATTTCTATTACGGTTGTAAAATATAATAATGGAATAAAGGAAGAGTACTTACAATACATGTATAGGGGACTTGGGAGACCACTCTTGACGAGGCCGTGCCTGGTTGGGCATTTGCGTTAGTTTGATTGTTCACATTCTTGAGATTTCTGCGACAAAAAGACAAAAAGGAAATGGTTACGCTCGTTTCTAGCAACTCGAAGTAACGTTTCGAGACGACAATACAAATTGTTGGTCGTATTTTGTTTTCACTGCGATTTTACAGGAACGAACGACATTCTCTTTGCGATAAGAGCGTGGAAAAAGAAAACTGTGCAAGAGAAATATAACCAAGATATTCTTTGCATTTAACATACATGTACATATGTCTTTATATCTGATACACAGAGAAGCAATTGTATTTTTATATTCAGATTTAGCTTTATAATATATGTACATTTCGGTAGCTTTGACTGCAATTCAATATTTATTCACCATTTCTACTAGCAATATTTACACTCTAGTAAAAGATAAATATGCAGTTTCATTGAAGAAAGGAATGTACATTTATACTGTTTAGCTTTTGTGCTGGGTGGAAAAATGCACTTTTAATGTTTGAGGACTGTGTGGTTTGTGATTATAGAAAATTTTAGGAAGACTTTATTTTTAGTGGAAATAGCTGTCTTCGTAGAGGCGTATCAAAGTTTGGAGAGTGGTGGAGTTTTGGGATATTGAGATTTGAAGGTTTTGGGAGATGAGAATTTGGAAATTTGGGAAATTGGAATTGGAAAATTTGGATTTGGGAAATTTGGAATTGGGAATATTGGGAATTGGGAAATTTGAAAATTGGGAAATTAGGTATTAGGAAATGTGGAGAATAGGATATTTGGAAATTAGGAAATGTGACAATTGAGGAATGTGGAAATTGGGAAATGTGAAAAGTGGGAAATGTGGAAATCAGGAAATTTGAAAATTGGGAAATGTGGAAATTAGGAAATGTGGAAATAAGGAAATTTGAAAATTGGGAAATGTAGAAATTGGAAAATTTGGGAATTGGGGAATGTGGAATTTGGAAAACGTGGAAATTGGGAAATGAGGAAATTGGAAAATTTGGTAATTAGGAAATTTGAAATTGGGAAATGTAGAAGTAAGAAACTTTGGAATTAGGAAATTTGGAAATTTGGAAATTGGAAAATTGGAAAATCGGAAAATTGGAAAATTGGAAAATTACCAAATATCCACTTCTCCAAATCCCAAATACCGCCTTCTCAAACCCAACCCAAATTTCCACCTACAAAATAAAAATCAATCTTCCACCAAACTTACAAAAGCAATAATAGCTGTACCGCAGAAAGCTCGTAATATTTGTTGGTAGTACCACCACAGAACGATGTAAATCACGTTCGTCCGCGATTTATTCACATTTCCATTGTTCGATCATCTTCGCGCTACTTCCACCAAAATTTTATCGTTCGAATCCATCACCTCCGCGCTTTTTTTTGCCTCAATTTCACGACTCGCAACGCGATTGCTACGATGAATAGATAACGAACGAACGAACGATGCACGCTGACGTTCTCGCGTCAACGGAACGATTAATCGGATTTCGAGGAACCTGTGCGAACGTCGTTTTTGCACGGCCTGCAAAGATGCACGTATCGAACTAGCAAATTTCGTTAGTTATCAATACTTTTTTTTGTTCGTATTTCTTCTTTTTCAGGAACTAGGGAGTTGCAATTTGTATGGGTCGCAGGAAATCGAGGTTGTATAGCCTGCGTAGCAATATTGCAATATTTTTTGCAATTTCAAGCTTGAGAGTTGATGAAAATCGTAGTATAAAGATTTTTAAGTAAGGAATGAATTCACTATGTCAAAGAATAATTATCTTGTTGTTAGTATGTAGATAATTAATATTCAATAGAGTTATATATATTTCAATTTCTTTTATGAGTTACTTTTGGAACACCCTGTATACTGAATAATATCATATGTGAATGTTTATGTGTGTACATATAAGAGGCAGTACATATGTATACGTATATGTGACATATGTAGACGTATTGTATGTATGTAGCATATGTACATGACATATGTATACATTTATATTTTTTGCATGTGTGTGGCATGTGTGTAAGTGTACCTATGTAACATATGTATATAACATACATATGTTATGACATACATATAACTATTGCATGTAGGTGACATATGCAAATGCATTGCATGTGTGTGACGTGTGTATACGTATTGTATGTATGTAGCATATGTGTAAGTGTTGCACTTATATAACATATGTAGGTGTGATATTTATACGTATTGCATATATGTAACATATGTGTACATATTGAATTTATGTAGCATATGTATATGACATATGTGTACATATGTACTGTATGCATGTGTGTGGTATGTGTGTAAGTGTACCTATATAACGTATGTGCGTGACATACGTACAACTATTGCATGTATGTGACATATGCATATGTATTGAACGTATGTGACATATGCACACGTTTCATTACCACACCCTGTATACGTGTCTTGCACCAATCAATCCACTGCTAATATCAAGTACGTTCTTAACGAATCAATAAATTATTTATATCAAAGAAGCATCGTCATCGAAATTAATTCGCCTTTTCACATCGTCGAAATGAATTCCTTGATTTTCTATCGATTTCACGAGAACTTTCGTACCGCGAGCGGTCATAAATATCGATGGAGGCAAAGGGAGCGCAATTTCATCCGGAAATGAAAAATATACAGGAAATCAAACGATTTCGAGAGTCGGTCGCGTTATTGCGACTGAGAATGAAAATCCACAGGGACAATGTTATAACTTTTCTCATTCTGTTGGCTGACGGTCTCGAGTGTTTTTGTCCCGACGAGTTAAGAGCACCGGATGATTGTAACCGTCCACCGGATGTATTCTTGAAAACTTTGGAATCCGCATCGCGAGTCAACGTCGTCGTGGCAGACGTTTTCAACGGAAAAATTTCTCTTTTAATTTTTCCACGCTGTCAGGGGACTTTTCCTGCCGGCACATTTTCATTCTAACTTGCCACTGCGCGGATCTTCCGTAATATACAACCTTTTCAAACCCAGATTACGTTGTGGGAACAGAAAATTCGTCGAGCATAAATTATTGTTTCATTTTGCAATATTTTCATTGCATTGCGATGACGTTTCTCGACGTAGTTGCAACTTTTAATACGCATTCTTTAGACATACATATTTAGTGCGCATATTAAATATGTATGTTTAATACGTATCATTCACATGTAACATCTACATGTTCTTTAGACATGCATATTTAATATGATTTCTAAAGAACATGTATATTAATGCATATCAAATATGCATATTTAATATGATTTTTAAAGAACATGTTTATTAATGCATATTAAATATGCATATTAAATATGTATGTCTAAAGAACATGTAGATGATACATATTAAATATGCATGTTTAAAGAATATGTATATTAATGCAAATCAAATATGCATATTTAATATGATTTTTAAAGAACATGTGTATTAATGCATATCAAATATGCATATTAAATATGATTTTTAAAGAACATGTGTATTAATGCATATTAAATATGCATATTAAATATGTATGTCTAAAGAACATGTAGATGATACATATTAAATATGCACGTGTGAAGAACACGTATATTAAATCAATATATGTTAATGCAAATTAAGTATGTATATTAAACATGTATGTCTAAGGAACATGTGGATGTTACATGTACAAGATACATATTAAATATGCATGTTTAAAGAACATGTATATTAATGCAAATTAAATATGTATATCTGAGGAACATGTAGGTGATACATATTAAGTATGCATGTCTAAAAAGCATGTGTATTAAATCAATGTATGTTAATGCAAATTAAATATGTATATTAAATGTGTATGTATAAAGAACATGTAAATGTTACATGTAGATGACACATATTAAATACGTATGTCTAAAGAACATGTAGACGACACATATTAAACATGTATGTCTAAGGAGCATGTAGATATTCGTCAAACATATCACGTACATTAAACAGAAGATTGCAATACATTAATATATATAGTTGTACAGTAAAATCAGTAAAATAATAAAGTACAGTTTCATTGCAATATTGCAAAAGTACCAGAATAGCAAAACAACAAAATAAGATAGTAAAAAGTAAAATCCTATTTATTTAGCAAAATACAAAATCCTCAAAACACCAACTATTTAATCAAAAGTACTCGACCAAACGAACAAAACGTAATCGAATAAATTTTCCATCGCTTCATCTGGGATTAAGAAAGGAAGAATATGAAAATAGCCCGATAACCTTAAAAATTGATATCAGACGTCTGCGAAGTAATACAATCTTAATCAAGAGTCCTGATCAGTCAAAAAAGGAATGTAAATCAGTGAGCGTGTAAGAACGGTCGTTCGTAGAAATAAGAAGTGGAACGAAATCGATATATCGAATAGCTGAGAGAGGTTAATGATGCAGAGTATAAAACGTGTATACGATCGACGCTGTAACACACGACATTCTTCCGCTTGCATAACCGCATCGCTCCTCCCGTATATGGCCGCTTTTCCCTACCTCAAACTACCCTTTCCCCATCGTAGACATGCGATACACGGAACACGCAACATTCGCCACGAGTCTTTTTTTCGTTCACGATCAATCGACCGACCACGACGGATGATTACGGGTTTCTTCTTTCCACGGATCACGCGGCAATTTGCGTTTGAATATATTTTTGCGCAGTTTCTTGCTTTTGTACGTCGCGTGAAGTCGAAACATTCTAATTCAAAGACGATGGTCTCCGAATCGATCTTTTTATGTTCTACTTTTGCCTACGTAGATTTATTGTTTGGCTGCACACGATACATTTACGAAGGGGGTCTACACTCGGTATGGGGCCACATTTTGTATCGAGAGTTTTCGTTCGTTTCGTGTTATTTTTATTTGTGAAATGCAAATTTCTGATTTCTCGAATTTCTAGGGTTTCATGTTTTCAAATTGTTAAATTCTAGTTTACAGATTTGTCAACTAGATAAAGGGAGAAATACTTGATTATCGAGAGTCAAGTGACGTTAGTAATACATGTGTAATTAATTACCTTCCTGTTAATTATGTATGCTTATTACTAATGGTA